ACTATTCTCATGGCATTACTATCTTTATTGGAAGATATATTGCCTATAAAGAAGATGAATGTAAAATGTTGAAACTATAATAGGCATTATCTTAAACAGTAAAAGATCGTTTAATTGTCCCTAGTATCATTTTTATTTCTGTATTCCAAAATCCAAGTTTCTGCATAGGAAGACATAATCCACAATAGTGGTGTGACAAGATTCCTAAATATTCCCACCAAATAAATGGGCACTTTTGCATATATGATACAATCTGTGAATTAACAGATACAGAACGAGATTGTGTAAATGAAAATTCATTAAACTGTAGATCAAATAATGCTTGTCGACTGGCCAGTATCTTATTGTATTGCTCATTAATGTATTGTAAACAGGAGTTAATGATACCAATATTGGAATAACAAATCTTGCCAGGAATTTTAAAATAGAGAAGCCCTATGCTAGGACTCCTTGGCAGTTGCTAGCATCTTCGTCCATGCCAATGTGTCATGTACTCTTGATAACTAACTGTTACTCCTTCACTTTGATATCGAGTTAGTTTTACACTGCGTCTAATATCTGGAGTGACTAATCCTTTGTAACCACCTTTATGCAGAAGAGAATCTATTGTTTGTATTTGGTCCCATCCTAAACATAAAAAATGTTTCCTTTGCAGAACACTTATCATTGTTATTATAATTATGAATAACTTAGCACATAATAAATTGAAAGTTTATTTTTCTAATCGTATGATCTGAAAAATGCTTCTATTTTGAATTGATATGAAGATCTACAAACCTTGTGCAGTTGCAACATCAGGTAAATAAGTAGCAGTTCGCTTATTACCCTTCTCGTTATGAAACTCTATACGAATTCCGTGAACACCTACTTCCCAATCTAAATAATCTGCTCCATCTTCAAAATGACGAAGTATAGAGACACTGACATGCAAACGTGGCAGTTCTTCCCTTGTTATCGGGTTAAAACGAGAGTCCTTAAAGGCGCTATGAGATACAAGATACTTAAAATTCTATATAGTATCTTTTTCTTCAACCACATATTAAACAATACCTAGTGGTAGCATATTCCCGTAATCCTGCATGCAAATGCATTGCATTGAATGTACCAATGCAGCCTCGTAATTTCATATCTTTGCCAATAGTCCATGTTACAAATAATGGGCTTCAAAGTTTAATGTTAATGTTAAATTAGCACGTAAATAATATAACAATAATATTATATTAATTAATATACTGTATTTCTGGATGTGGAAATATAATAGTTTTAAATTTGCACTGAACTAAAGGTTTAAAAGTAAATGTAATATATGCTTCTACAAAATGTGACTAGATATTGTAAAGGTATAACTGAAAGTACTGTGAGGAAGTTATGTGTGTGCATTTAATTCGCGTGTTTCTATTTTGTATCTGGAACAAAGATAAATATGAATATACAAAGATACTTAAGATAATGTGATTGACCTAAAAATCTGAAGGTTTGTTTAGGATATTTATTCAAATAATAAAAGGAGAATGTATTGCAGATGATACTGTCTTTTAAATTTACTAAGAAGCCTGTGCATATACATACAAAATACCAGAAAATAATTTGTTAGTACTTTCTAGTTTAGATTCATACAAGAAGAGTTTGTAACCTTTAGATAAAATTATAAATATTAAATGGTAGAATCCCTAACAAAGGAAGATGAAGATGCATGGCACACAAAGGCAATTGTGTGCATATACCATACGAGACTACAAAGTTCAGGGATACGAAAACTTGGCAGAAGAACCGAAGACAAGTACGAAATGTGAGACGATCTCAGAGGACAGTACTCACTATGGCTCATTGCTGAAGTTGGGCGATTTTGGTGGATCGAGTTGGTGCAGTTGGCAGTATAGAACATCGAAACAATAAAAGCCCATCTCAGGCTGCGCTATTATGGAGTTCCGCATACGAATACCATTTTGTAAACTCACGGTACCGTTGCATGGAACACTAGACGAATTGTTTAACTTTTGCTTTTTCGTTCCACAACAACCAGCTGCCATATTTTCTCAGTTAATCGTAGCAACAACCTAAGACACGATCGGTTTCCAAACCATACATCTCGCGCTTACCGTTGCTATTGCATACTAAATTGCGCGCGCGTTCCGCTAGATGTCTTGCTAATTGCAAAACAGCTGTTTCATTGCCCGCCATTTTCGTAATCGAATAATTCCACATTCGAAAACAAAATGTTTTGTTGATTCATATATTTTCCAATTCTAGTGATCGTTTAAACAGTAAATCATAGATATCGATGTAAAGCATTCAGTAACTTTATGATTAAAAATACAAATGCACACAGGAGAATCAAAGCAATTGTTTTGATAATATAAAATTTTTATTTACCCCAATCGTATAAACTATCGGCATTGTTTCTCATGCTTAATTCGTCGTGAGATTTTGATTTTTATCACCTCTCTACATAGGTATATATTATTATATGTGTATTACTTA